CGCCGCTGAAATATAATCCTCTTCTGCTTCAACATCCTCATTCGCTTCTGATTTATTAGCTCTTTTCCCTCTTGGAGGCATTTTAATAGTTGTAGAATTTGTTCAAAGACTTGACAATGTAGAAGATGTGAAAAATCGTAGAACAGACAAGAGGAGCAGTGAAGACGTCATTAGATTTAGCCAGAAGGCTGTGGATTTGACTTAACTGTCAAATAATAGCAAATGTGGCATTTTTCATAATTGTTTGTGTTTGTTTGCAAATAACAAAACATGGAAAGCTCACCAAATGTGGAACACAATAGAACTGTTTCTCCAGTCTGGTCTGGTTTCATTATCCTCTATTTATCCTTTTAAGCCGAATGAAATAAGTGCAACTGGAAATGAAAACATTGTCCAAGCGAGGCAACAAATTTGTCTCTGAAATTTAATGCTTTCTTCGACCAAGCACAAAAGCAGCGCTGGGAATTATTTTGAATTAAATAAGAAAAATGATCGACACTATGTGGCATGATTTTGCTTATTCAGTGTGGCACAACTGTAGCCAGTGGCTCGAGGTAAAGCCTCAGTACAATTTACAGGCCTGGTATACAATCCACTGCTACATAAAGTGTGAGAATTATGTGTCTACATGCTTTTGCAGTATTGGTGAGGTTTAACTGGACTGTGTTTTCTGTTTGTCAATTTTTATTTCATTAATGCCCCTGGCTTTTTTTCACATAAATTTTATTCTTTTTTACATATATCACTGGGGACATCGATTATTTATAAAAAAAAAAAACAACAACAACTTCATTTTGATGATTTCTTAAAACATGACTATTTTATTGCTGTACTTTTACCACAGAACACCTGAATAACTTGTATTTGGTTCTGTAAATTTGTGTGTTAGAAGACCTGTCAATCAGTGTGGGAACAATGGCAGGTTCACTAATCTTTGGCAACCCTTTGGTTTACAATTGGATTATAGGTTGTGCTCTTCGCCCACCTCTACAATTAATATTCAGTGTTTGTTTGTTGAAGTGACATGATTAGTGTGTTACTGCTGTTTAGTCATGGATGTCAAGGACACAATCAGCAATACACAGACTCTATTCGGAACCCCTGAGCCTTGCCGTTTGTCATTACATAAGTGAAATCACAAGTCATTACTTTCAGGTAAAGGTAACCTCTGGCTGGGCGTGGGTGTTTTGGTTAGTGTAGTGGGCTAGCCTGGGGGTTAGTGTGTTGTTTATAGATCACATCCACATCTTCAGGCCTTTTGTTTTGTCTCATCTACAATGTTGAAGTGTATGAAAAATAGATAATGATCAAAAATATGGTAATCTGTGATGAAATACACACTAAAAGGCACCCTATGGACTGGCTAAATTGCTGGGTTGGGTGTGCATGAAAAAGACTCATGGCAAGATAGAGACAGTGAGGAGAAACTTTTACAGTGTGTGTGTGTGTGTGTGTGTGTGTGTGGGTGGGTGGGCGTGTATGCATGAGCCTGCAGACACCTGCTCCATTCTGCAGTGATGGCTCCCAGTGGGACACAGGCTCAGCTGCTGATCACTAGGCTCTCCCTGCAGCACTGGTGGCCAGCACACACACACACACCAACACACAGACATGTATATATACACACACACACACACACACACACATAGCTCTTCCAACAAATCTGAACCCTTCAGGTCACCCTTGCAGCGTCTCTCTGTGTTCCCTGTAACTGACACACCACATGTGCTTATATCAATGAAGCCATGACATAAGGTACACACACACACACACACACAACGCTGCACTGTCTGTGCTCATACAGTATGATGTTGTGTGTAAATTGTGTGACATGGTTCAAGTCTGATCCAGTTTGATATATGCTATAGGGATGATATGGATGAATAGCTTTTGTTCTATACCCTATAGCTAAAAAGCTTATCTAAATAGAGTACTGCAAACCTTCATATTATCTGATGCTGTAACCACAGTTAAAAAGGAAAAGGATAAAATATCAGAGCATATTTTGGCCTTCTCTTGATTTCACCTATTTTCCCACACAAACATGAAGATAGTAATTTTTAGCTTTCTGTCAGATTACTTCACATTGGTGAAACATAATACAACACCCACATTTGTTTTTGTCAGCCCTGTATTAATCATCTACCATTGTGCTAATCTCGGTATTTTGCACACATCTTCATCTCTCGGATTCTCTCTCTATGAGCATCTTTTCCCTCTGTGGCGTTGTTCAGACTGCTGCACCTGTCTGTGCTACTCTGACGGCAGGGTTGTGGAGCATAAATGAACTAATTTCCCGGATATAGAGAACACTGCAATCAAGGAACGGGGTAATGCTGCGAGTGGCAGATGGAAGGAGCTAATCATTGTTGTGAAATAGAGATGACCTCTATCTATCTCCTGGCTGCTAATACACCGCAGCTACGTACATTTACCAGCTACTATGCCACCCCGACCCCGACATTTACTTCTTCCTTCTTTGCCTGTTTGTTGATGTGGTGATGATGAACCTCTTCTGGCAGTTCTGAAATGCAACCCTCTTTTTTATGTTCAAACAGAAAAGATTGGAGTTGTCAAACAAAGCCTGGTGTCACATTGAGAACGGCAGCTGCCTGCAGTGGGTAATCAGTGCAGCTTTCTACAAATTAACAACATTCAGCTCTGAAACACGACGCACTGCAGGTTTTTAGATGTGGGCTTTTGAAAATTAGATCTCAGTAACTAAAATACGGAATAATTAGCAAATCAGTTTTTGCCCACATGTTCTCTTAATTTTGACTGAAATTGCCCGGTCATTGTAATGCTGTGAAGTGATACTGTGGAAGCTCATTTTAAATGCAGTTTAAATTTGATTAATTGCAAGCTGAATCTTTGTTCTATGTGCCTTGGTTATGATGTGCTCAGAATTTAATTCTTTGAATGGTCTTTTAAATGCACGACTGAGAACATGTGCACATGCCTAGAGAGACACATAGGCAAGACGTAGCACAGACACACTCTAAACAAACTGAATACACAGTGTTGCCAGGGGGAGTAATGGTAAACTTGGCTGCAGGCAAATAAAGTTGGAGGACAAAATCCACTAGCTATTATTCACTTATCAAAACAATAATTTATTGCAGCAGTGCATTAAATGGAAATATACAGTGACTGCTTATTTTTGAATGGCAACATTGTATAAACATTTTAGTGATTAATCAATAAAAGTAACTACACTAAATAAAGTATTGCTACGGTTATAGAATTGTATTTCCTTTCGATAGCACTGACATAAAAAAATGTGTTGCTGCTTTTGAGGCTTTACACAGCAAAGGCAACAGAATCTTCCAGCACATTTATCTAATGTATGCAAATGATCTCGCTGTGCTTAATGAAGGCACCATTAATCACCATAACGATGGTCTTTTTTAACCAGGGTAATCATGCGCGCACACATATACACAGGCATATGCACTTACACACACGCGCTCACTCGCCCACCCACACACAGGAACACGCCTCATCACCAGCAACACATTGATAACAAATGTGCAAAATCTCAAATTAGACCATTACCAACCCATTTTGCTAGAAATGCAAGGGTGTATGAGGACCTCATAGTCACTCAGTTATTAATAACAATGTTTTGAAACCATTTTGTCCTTTTGGACTTTTTTTGCCCCCTTCATTTATACTCTGTTTTGTTGAATTGTTAAATTAGTCATCTGGTCATCATGTTCCACCCTGGAATTGACTGGTTAAGTAATCCCCTCAAATTCCAATCTAATGAAAAGCCGATAACATGCATCAAAATATGTTGACACATCAATCATATTTCTATAATAAATTCAGCTAATTAGTTCCACTGTTTTTCCACAGTCCAGCAGCTTGATACAAACAGCAGAATGTTGTCAGCCTAAAACAGCAGTGAGCAACACAGTAATTGTATGTGTTGTATACGAACAGCAAAACAGTAACGAAACACTGGGCATCTTTGAACTCGTATAAGAATTCGAAGGAAAAACGGAGAATAATTTTTGAAGCCCAACTCCTCACAGATGCATTTTACTGCTTATCCTCTCAGTGCATTTGCATACAGTTGATGGAAACCCCTGGGTACAATCAGTAGCATGGCAGTGGGTTATGAAAGCTTCCGGGAGGCTCTGAGGTGTGGATCTGAGCCAGTTTGAAGGGGAGCCGAACCACTGAAGAGCACAGAGCGGATTAGAAACCCACAGCTTCTTGTCGCTTTAATGCAGCGAGTCAGGGATTTTCTTACAACGCTTTTGCCTAAATGCTCAGGTTTTTCTCATGCCCCTTTCCCTCTCTCATTCCCTTCCTCTTGAGGTAATCTTTTTATATGTAAATGTCAGAATAATGTTGACTCCAGTGCAAATTATCTATCTGCAGCTTTCCTGCTTTCTCCGCTAGTGTGTCACATGTTGACTGGAATTGAACTGGACTGATAGTTACGATCAAATTTCATTTGACCTGTACATCTTCCAGGGGTGCTGAAAAAATTTCTTCTCAAAGTTTTTATGTGAAGTTTTAACACGTTTGAACTGCGGCTGCACTGCTAAACGCCTCTTCATTAATTTACTGAGAAAGTCAATTCATCATCAAGGTGCAAATGCAAACATTAAATGCAAACACTGCAGATGCTAAGAGAATTCCTAAAATACAACAAGCATAACATGTATTTACTCACACATGCATCCACACACACAAACACCCCAAATTCCCTTGATAACAGTCTGAGTGGCAGAGGCTAAAGACAGTAGGCGTCTGTAATTGAACAAACACAACAATATAAATATTTACTAATACTATCCACTGGGGATACAGACAAAATCCCACAATTGATTTGTTCTCTTTCTGCTTGTTTGCTCGTTCACACATTACACAAAGATTCACACCGACTACCACTTTCCTCTTTTTATCCCTCTTTGCCTTTCCTTGGTATTACGCTTGCCTGTGTTCATTAAAGAGATGGATATATATTGTTCTATCTGTCTTCTTACCAGGGGTGACCTGTAGCCCATCTGGGCTGGCGATGACAGGAGATCCCTGGGAAATAGCGACGAGTGCGTCTCGGGGACGGAGCCCACGCCACTGGCTGCCAGTCCCGAGAGCTGCCCGTACCTCGCCATCATCTTGAGATGCTGCTCACAGAACACACACACTCATACACAGACACAAGAGGAGAGGGGAGGAGAGAGAGAGAGAGAGAGGAAAAAAGAGAGAAGGAAGGGGTGTGAGAGAAGAGATGGAAAACAGATACCAGCAGGTAGGAAGGGTGGGGAGAATAGTAAAGGAAACATGAGGAAAGAGGAGGTAGAGGGGGATTACAGAACACTTTGCTCTCACACAAATGCATGTGTGAACATACACACATACAGGCACTCGCACTTATAGACATACTGTATGTGCATGCGAAGGCGCACATACAATTTTAGCCCCGGGTGGGCAATTTCACAAGCAAGCCTATGTTTGATGGGTTTGATAGCTACCTTGGTTTGTTACAATAAGGGGATATAAAGTCTAGGCACTAGCTCTCCATTTATTATTACAAGCCAGGATGAGAGTGAGAAGCGTAGCAGTCCCGTTTTCTCCATACAGACCATTGTGCCGGGAAAAAAAAATACAGCTGCTGTTATCAATCATCCTTCTAGCCTTCTGGCTATGAGCATACAGAAGTGTAGAGACATGCACACACATGGACAAACACATGACAGAATGGTTGGCAGCAGACATACACTGGTGAGGTGTGGAGAAAGAAGCAAATCCAAATCTCTTTACCTCATTGCTCAACAAAGCGGCGTTGAGTGTTCGGCTTATTTCGAACATGTTCAGCTTCAGTGCTTTTTTCGTTCTGTCCTTTTATTTTAAATGTTCTTCAGTTCTTTGCTCCCCGTTTTCTACGGTTGGGAGTCAGTACCAGGAGCACAGAAAAGAAAAAAGAAAAATTAAATCAATTGGGGAAAAAAAGAGGGGGATACAAAAATCCTCTTAAATTTTCTGATTTTGGAGTTGTGATTTTTCAGTCTTCTCTGTTTTTTCTCTCTCTCTCTCTCTCTCTCTCTCCCCCTCCTGTTTGTTGATGCACCTCTGCTGGCTGTAGCTGTAGTGGTGGCGTTTTTGCCCAGGGTCTCCGCAAACGTCTAAAGAGTCAATATGCTGTTTTCTTTTTTTAAAATCTCCCAAGAGTCAGCACATTAAAACAGGCAGTCAGGCAGTTGGTGGGTCGGGCTGGCTGGCTCCCTTATCTGTCCCACGCACACTGGCTCATACAATACGCTCCGATCCTCACACTGCTCGCTAGCAGATTAGCCTGTCCCAAAACATAGCACTTAGTTTAAACTCCCCTCCCTTTTTTCTCTCTCTCTCGCTCTCTGTATCATTCCTTCTGGCTCTCTCCTTTGCTCTCCCTCCCTCTCTAGCTCCATCTCTCTCTGCATCACTCTCTCTCTCCCCCCATTGCTCACGCATTGATGCAGCTACAGTTCGCTGTCCTACCACAAGGTGGGAAGACTGTTCTAGCAACAGCGACACCATTGCTACCACAGCCCTTCCATTCCCTGCCACTCCTATCATTTAGATTTTTCTGTCTTCTCCTCTTTTCATGTGTCTGTAACACCCAGGTATGAAGGAACATTTGCACTAATAGTAGCTCTTACTCCAGGATAAATGAATTGTTAGGGGGTCTGAGGATTCCTACTCTTTATTTTTTGTTACCTTATTATGGCTTTCACAAAAACAAGATGAGTGTTCAAGTGTAGACAAGGGATATCAAAGGCTTCTGGGAAAGGAAATCATACACCTTGGCTGTGTTTTTGTGACAGGTACAAGTGAAATAATGGAATGCAATAAAACCTGTACATTATCAAGAGACCTCGAGAGAGTGGAAATGAAGCGTACCTCTCACTAATAGCTACCAGAGGGGGAAAAAGTGAGGGTTGGGCTGATGTGAGCATCAAGGTCAGGTGGTTGTCCTTTTCTTCAGCAGGGTGTGGCACAGAGATGACGAAGCAGCTAGTCACAGGGATGGCAGGAGATCCCAACTATGGAACAAATAAACAAGCAGAAAAAGATTAGAGAGAAGTGAGCCAAGAATATGACTCACTGCATTCTTGGATTCAGTCGATAACACCTGAGTAATGACTCACAATGTATTGTATCTGCATCTAGTGAAATGTAAAATAATGTCCAAATGTTTATGAAATTTAAGGCCGTGTTTATAGAAAATAAGAAAAAACAATTTTATGAAGGTATTGCTGCTGGAGTTGCTGGGAACATGATCATCTTACTCAATCTTAGTGGTGTCTAACTCGTATAGCGTCATCAGCGTGGCAAAGATTTATTCCTAGTGCTTTGAATGTGCTTTTTGCTGTCTTGGATCAGAGCATGGAATCTGCCAGTTAATAGCAGCCTATTGACACTGGACCATCTGTTTAGGTGGACACTGTTCAGCACATTGGAGAGAGGGAGGGAAAATGGGATGGAGAGACAGAGGAAATGACAGAAAAAGAGAGAAGAGTGGGTGATGATGATTCAATCAGAGAAGGGGTAACAGCGAGGTACAAAGCAGGGGAAGTGTTACTGTAGCTAGCTGTTTTAACAAATGTTTATGTCAGACAGGGAGAGGGAAATATGCAGAGACACACTTATCAAGAATGTGGCATATAATACTGTTTTAAATTAGTACATTTTCTCTTTTTACATCTTCATAAGCAGCAGGATATGTACTGTAAACAACATCATCACTCTGTTGCGGCACTGTTGTACTGTCTTGACTTCAGTTCCATTTAATTTTCCCTTCAGAAAAAGGACTGCTGGCCACATCCCTGTTCTATAAAGCTTGCTGTCTCTGGGGATGGCTGGTCAAGCAGAGCCCTGGGGGGGGATGGGGGGGCTGTCAGTTCCTCATCCAGAGTGAGGGCTGATTCCTCAGTCAGCTGCCTCTCAAGCCTTCCTCTCTGACCCAGACTCAGTCCCCTGAGCCCCCTGATTGCTGTCACCATAGTGATTCTCTGCGTACTGCTGGCTGGTGTCTGCAACTCCCCCTAAACACTACACCCTGCCTCTCCAAGTTGCTGTCACATGTACCCTGCGTTATTGCATGACTTCCTCCTTCACTGATGATGGACTTTGTGTGCGGATGCCCTTAGCTGAGCAGAGTAAAAAGGGTTTTCCTGTACTTGCTGGAATACAAAAATACCGATTTGCTACTCCAGCACACACAAACATACATCATAACTTTAGGCCGGAAACATAAACAAGAAATTCTTTGTGTCCGTTTATGTTTAGTTATGGTACTGAGCTACACGGATATACTTATTTGAAAATTTTACAGTTTAGAAGGAAGAGCATTTTTATGAAAGCATGACAAGTAAGACTGTTGTGCCAAAGCTACTGGTCCCCCAAGGGGTTTCTGAACCCGTTACTGTTCTGCATAGGAATGTGATGGCGCAGCGTGTCCTCCAGTCACTAGCAGAGCATGTCTAAAATGGCCACAGCTTCTTAAAGTTCCTGTAGACACTGTATTTAACTGTGATAGGGATGACTACATATGCAGAAATCATTGCACAGCTCAACAATGCTTTGATAGGCAGGCAGAAATATGCTCTCTAGAATGATAATTAAAATCTAAGAGGCCCTGGTGTGGATTGCAGTTTTCTTTCTAATTTTTCTGTTTTCCAGTGATAAATGTATTCATCATCATCATCATTATTGCTGCACTTTGCAGACACCATGACAACAAACATACTGCATACGTGCAGAGGGTTACTTGAGCAGAAAGAAGAGCAGTTACTGTTGAAACTGTTGCTTTTTTTTCTCCTTAATATGAAGCTGTAAAAGAACAGGACAACCATCAAGAAAAAAATATAACACTTTGGTACAGTATAACATGGCTTGTTGTCATATATTACATATAATCATAATAAGTCATTATTAGAGTCAACTACCAAATGTGAGCTTTGGCAGTTAGTTCAAGTTGCATACAATAGCTCAAGTGATCCAAATCTGGAAGAAACAAGCCAGCAACTTGTCATAAATTCAACTACTTGTATACAGTATCTCTATTTGATAAGAGCAGAGAAACAAGGGAAACATGTAGCATATCTAATTCATTTTGTCATGCTCCATAATTCAATTTTAGTCTCCGTCTTGAAAATGATTGATTGTACCACCCTAGACCTCTTTAATTGGCAAAGTGTTAAAGGAATTACATAGCATAGAGGACAGCTATTCAATTTTCAGTTTTAACGAAATATAACACAGTAGCTCTGTATTCTCCCCCTGCCATCTGAGAAATAATCAGTCTGACCTATCCTACGCAGCAGCCTGTTGATGCTTGCCATCAAATACAGAGCACACACAGAGAGAAAAATCATTGCCCTCTCCGTGGTCTTATTCATTTGGCCTGGTTACACACAGTTTATAACCTGAAAATTAGCAGCAGCCTGTATGCCTCTTGCTCCAGGGGTTGTGAGACTGCTCATTTGATGTACTTAATCAGGTGCAGCCTTTGTAATGGAAAAGGAATAGGGCCAGGCTTGATTGGCCTTGATGACATCTATGCTCCAATTGTCTAGAAAACCTCCAGCTTTAATCAATCTGCAGGATAATTCAGAATCTCTGGCTGCTGCCTGCAATGACTGACTTTTTTTCTGTGAAAGTATCATTAAAAATATGGCTGTAATAAAACTGAGGTGTGTACAATATACTAATTATAGTTTGCAGACAGACGAATGGGAGTCTTGTCTAGTGTTGCCTGCAGAAATGTGATTGTCAGAAATAGTTTGTTGTACACTGACTAATGATAATAATAATAATAATAATAATATATCTGTCATTTTTAAAAGTGTCTGTGAAACTGTGTTTCTAGAAAGCGACAATAGATGTACTATGTTTTTTTTTTTTAACCTAAGCCATGCTGACAGTCTGACACTTGGTATCATAAGTAGAGTGTTTAATAATTTCTACACTATGATCTATGTGCAGAAATCACCCTGAATATCAGTGTCTAGTGTTATTGTGGTATTTCTGTAGATTCATTCAGCAGCGGAACTGACCTTACCTATGTACTGCATAGCGGATGCCTTGTATGTCTGATAGGGCTGACAGCGTCTATCCCACCTACTCCTGCTCCGTTACCGGGGCAACACACAGTGAGCGTCGGCTGCTCTGTAACAGAATTGAGGGGAACATGGAGGAGAACACTGGTAGAGACGTCGAGACTGGTGTGTAAATATGAGCCGTGCCTTGCTTTCTCTTCATTACCATACAAGAAAAGGGAAGCGCACGGCGTCACGTTACCTGACAAATAATATGTGCATGTTTCTGGTTTGCTGCGCGTCTTTATATTGACGATAACGTGTAGTGTGCTAACCTTCTAGCTAGCAGGTGCACGGATGTAAACAAGTCCTGTCACCAGCATGTTTTGAGCTAGTCTTTTTGCTACAGACGTTAGACACCATACAACAAATTGTCTGCGTGCAGTGTACCTCACGGGAAGCCTTTACTGCTGGCATGTTAGTGTTAGTACCTTCACCGTACGTGCGAGCAGTGTATTGTCTATGAGTATCTAGCTGCTAGCTATGTTACCTGAGCAAGTCAGGGTTAGCTCATCCAGTCAACGGCTGTGTGGCTAATTAGCTATCTGAAATTATGCTTACTAACACTAATTGGTCTTTGTCTGTTGTCCTTCTAAAGCCATAATTCCTGAACATAAGCAGACTTATTATAAGTACCAGCATAGATTTGAACAAAAAATTAATTTACAAGTGTTACTTTGTAAGTCTTTGTACTTGACAAGTACAAAGACTAATAATAGACAAAGTCTTAAGTTTAAATTGCCCTGTTTGTAAAAATTTGAATAAATGGTTTTCCATGCAGCCTACTGTACCATATAGACTATAGTCCTCAGTCTCTCTACTGTGGTTATGCCTCATTAATATAAAAAATAGTAACTGGCGCTTTATTATGCATACACCCAAAAGTGCAGATGCTCTTGAAAGGTGTAGCATATCTTCTTTTAATTTAGCTTGAAGATATTTTTTGTTACTGTCACTGCACTGTTCTGACTAATTTCATCAGAATTGTTGTTTCAGTTAGTTTCAAGTAGGTGAAAAGCCTTTTGGAGGTCAAGGCAAAATCAGCACATATTATATTAAAGATAGATTATTAACAATCCTCTTTAAATGTATTAGCATGTTCACAAAAAGCAACAGTTTGTGTTTCAGACAAAGAAATAGTTTTTTAATCTTTATATACTTTGTTATTTATTTGTGTTGCTCTGTTTTGCTTTTTTGATTAAATGATGTTTTGTTTATAGCTGACAAGGTTGACAAAACTCTTTAGCCCTAATTTGTGCTTAATGGTGACATAAGTCTTTGCATGACTGCATATGGTTTCATTTTAAGGTCAACAGTCTAGGATTCCTTTTAAATGAACATAGAAGAATATTTTCACACAGCACATTTTAATAAAGGAAGACTAAACTTTGATGCATATTGCACTTGTTTTTCAGGCAGTGAAACTGGAGGAGAGGATGCCTTGGTGGGGAATGTGAACAAACTGATGGTGAGCCCTCCAGGGTACTCAGGAGCTCCCCGAAAAGGACATCTGGTTTTTGATGCTTGCTTTGAGAGTGGTGAGTAGTCATTAAGTACTTGGAAAAATGCTATATCATAAAAAAAGGTGTGTGTTAAAGTGGTAATCTATGATATTATTTATATTTTCGTTTCATGTTGGTGGAGTCCTTATTTGAATTTGAATGTCACTGCTATGGTCAGTGGTAGCTGCAAATAATTACAAACCCCAGTGCAAGATTTTGTGGTGCAAACACTCTAAAGAGGTGGATATGTTATCGAGTATGTTGGATTTAATAGATCAGGCTTCACCTTGTCAGACACAAAATTGAATCAGCATATAAGTGATTGAGTGTAACTACTAACAATCCTATGCATGTTTCAAAATCTGGAAAAAACCCAGGGAATGACAGTATTGTCAGAAATGCCCTGGAAAACACCGAGTAAATTCTGGGAATGCTTTGTAATCAGTGATATAGTGGTAAGAAAAGGTAAGTGAACCATTGGGAATTACCTGATTTTCTACATGTTTTGGTCATTAAATGTATAGACATGTGTGGACGGCTCTCTGAGCTCATCACTTACTTTCGGTTGTTATTAGCTTAAGCACATTGTGTTTGTCTATATTTGTGACTTAGATGATGACCGAATGACATTTTATGACTAAACCTTGTAGAAAACCAGGTAATCCCCAGTGGTTTACTTCTTACTTTCTATTTTCACTGTATTGGCTATTTTGTAGTATGTATTGTGAAATATTTGATCCGCCATCCCTAGTAGGCTAGTGGTTAAATGGCTCTCGCCGCTGCGCCCTGGGTTTGAATCAGGGTTGCGTCAGGAAGGGCATCCGGCGTAAAACACATGCCAAATGTCAACATGCGAGTCGTTAGTGTGACGATTTGCTGTGGCGACCCCTAAACGGGAAAAGCTGAAAGTGACTTTATTGTGAAATATTTGATCCAATTTGAAATAAACCAAAAAAGTGATTCCATATCCCTTTTCATGCAAATAATGCTGGCACCTTAACTGTTCTCTCAGTCAGACACGCAGTTATTTTTACACATCACCCAAATTCATGATTGCTGTATAATTTCACAGCCTCAGTTTTGTCTGCGCTTTGCACATCATAGTGCAGACTCACAAGTAGAATCCATCCCATTTTATCAGTAGCTGACACAGAAACTCAGACACTGTTTTGTTTAATCAAAACAGGATTTTTATAATACCACATACTCTGGCCTAAAATTTTGACCAAACACATTCAGCTTGATCAAAATACAGCAGATAGAATCCTCACTTCATCTAGATGATCAAATAAATTTCATGGCATTACACAAACTTTAGCCTTATTGCACTGACTGCCTATTCAAACTGGAGCTAACAATAAGGTCCTTGTTTTGAATTTAAAATCTGTGTATGGATTAGCATCTTATTTATCCAACCTTATCAGGTTATATGTTCCAGTCAGCAATCGCTGTTCATTAGATGTGAAATATTTATATAGTCTGAGAACAAACAAGAAATCAATTGTAAATAGAGCTTCCGTATATGCCAGGTTTTGTATCTTTGACACGCTCTTCTACTCTCACTACCCACCAGCTCTGCTAATGCCATTCACATTTTCAAAGCACGACATAAATCCAAACTAATACTACTTCTAGTAATGGCATACTACTCACAATAATAATACTAGCATTAAATATAATAAAGTATATAGAAGCTTTAATATAAGAAAACAACATTTAAGTGCTTTATATTAATAATCGGGCAACAATTTCAGGTGAACAGGTGAAACAGGCTCCCAGAATCTTCAGCAATGCTTATTGTGACTATTACAGACCACCATGCTGGAGCAATGTAATAGTTACAATAAGCCTTGCTCCAGCATGGTGGTCTGAAGGTTAGAAAAGCGAGCTTGTGGTTCAGTACTTGGACTGGCAGGATTAAGTCTGGGTGGGACAAGTGAAAAAGCAATGCTTACCCATCTCTCATCAACACCTCCATAGTCTTAAACCCACCTGCTCCAGGGGAGCTACTCAGTGGCCAGCAGGTCAGGCTGTGGTTGCACTGTGCGCCTTCTAGGTGAAAGTGTGTGAATGCGAGCAGGGCGTTCCTGTAAAGGAGATGTGATAAAAAAGGCAGATCCAGTGTACATGAGTTTCTGAGGTTTTGGTATAAGAATCAGAATCACCTTTAATGGCCAAGTATGTTTGAACATACCAGGAATTTGACCCCGATACAGAGGCTCTCTGTTTTTGTAAGGCAACAGGAAATAGAAAATAACAATGAGAATAAAAATAAAGAATACAACAATTTAAATAAACTGTGTGCATTCAAATAGGAAATATGTGCAATCAAAAATAGGAATTAAATCAGAGGAATAGAGAGACAGTATTTATAAATCTATGTACACATACAGTACATACATTATGGCAGAAGAGCTTTTAGACTGGTATATACAATAGTTATATTTACAGTTCATTGCACTGGGGTGATTGCTGTGTCCTGCCATACAGTCATGGATTAACTGTTCATCAGAGTGGTGGCATGGGGGAAGAAACTGTCTCTGAGAATGTCTGAGCTTTTGGTATTGCAAGCAACTGTGAATCTGTGGTTGTGCAAGCTTTGTCAGGGACATGATATACAGTATATTGGCAACAGGATTGTCTAGGTCAAGGTCATATGAAGATTTATAGACAAGTGCTTGGACCTTGAAATATTTATTATGAGTAATTAGACATCAGTGCAGCCTGTTTTTATCTTGGCAGGTACAGGGTATAGTAACTGTTCATTTACTCATCTTCAATTACAGCACATTGTCTTTCTTTTGTTGGAAGTAGGCGTACAGTAAAATATTAGTTAATATGCTCTGGAATCTTTTGTTAATGGCATTTGTTTGGACATATTTCCTGTCAGCTGAATGGCATGACAATGAAAATAAAGTACTTTCTCACCACTGTCAAAATCAGTCAGTTAGACCAACACAGAGGCACACACTCAAGCACACAAATAGGCAGAGTAAATCGGTGAATCAGCGGCTCTCTCTGGGACTGAATCTCTGTGTGGAGATTAGGTTCAGATGGCACTCAGATTTCATATTTCCACAGACAGGCCCATTTTGGTTTCTGCAGACGGAGATGAGTTTTAACTTTAGCCTGTTTACTTTTAGATATCTGACCTCGGTGTCATTGTTGTTCTCCAAAGTAAATTTTTACTGTTATGTTACTGATACGCTTGGTATCCAAAGTGTTACAGGTAAGCCAATCACATACTGTATGTGTAATTCAAGTTTTTGTACAGTTATCACATGACCTAGGCCTATTACTTATTCATTCACAGGAGATATAAAGGGCTATATTGTACAGGGAGAAATAAGGATATGGGAAACCTAAACCGGGAAACCTAATCCACAGTTTTGTACACAGTTTTGAGGCATGTGATGATGACTGCATAAATATAGCACCGGTGCATACAGATTTAAACATGTTACTTTAGGAGGACTATCAGTGCTATCAGTGACTGATTGGCCTTGTTATAAATTTGCCTTTTCCCCCAAATGACATGGCCAGAGGAGCACAGACATTGATTAATGGGCAATGAGAGCCCACACTGAGATCAGCTAACATACCATTGTTTCAGGCTCCGGATGTATCTCCTGAATGATTTATGGATGATATTAATCTCTTTTTAGAAAATGCATTACAAAAGTTAGAATGGGGGATGAATTAATGTTTGCCAGCTAATGTCAGTTTAATCCCCTGTTGTGTTTTCATTTAACTACCAACATCAGCATCTTAATTTTGTCATAATATGATGATATTCACTACCTCTATAAAACATACACAATACCACTGTTTGTATTTTGTTGTTTGGCAGCTAGTTTAATTGACATTTAATGAAATGAATAGTTGAAATTCTTACTGAATATGCATGGGGATCTTAACAACCACATTTTGTGTTGTAGCTTTATAAAACAACGTATTTTAAATGATTTAATAGGATCGTATGAAATCTTAATATAATAATATTAATTATTAAACAGGTAATTCTGCAAGGAAAACTAGCACCTGTATTTTTATTCACTATTTTTAAATTAAAACAGTTGCTAAGCTATTTTGTGCACACTTCAGCTGCTTTGTACGGCATATACTTAAGATAATACTAGTAATTTTTGGTCAAGTCCTTTGATTAAAAGCTTGAATTTGATGTATGCTGTGCCAGAAAAGAGCAGCTACACTTACATTTTTAGAAGTGAACAAGGTCTGTTTCACTACAGAGCGAGGATTTTAAAAAACACAAGATTTCAAGGTTCACCCACCTAGTAGCCTGTCACACTGTGTTTACAATAGATTTAGTACCCGTATTCTCACTTGATAAGGCAGCATACATACCCCAAGTGTCAGTAAAGCTTTTAAAATGAGATGCTGTTTTTCATACAGTACATTCTGCCTGGTATATGCGATACCAATGACAGGAAGGCAATTGGAGAGTAGGGTGTCCACGTGTATTGCTTGTTGCACAGGCATGTATATTTCTCAAAGCTATTGAAATGGTCTTTCATGACAGCCTATGTCTATTTTACTCCTCTCAAACCAGACTGAATGGCTCAAACACGGTATTTCAAGCAGATATTTTCATTTGAAATTTATGCAAACCGTTAACTCAGTTAGGCTTTGTGCCTGACTCTTTTTCCTTCCTTTGGATGGCAGCTGTTTGTAGCCCATGTACATTTTCATAAAGCACAGATTTTATTTTGTTACATTAATATAGCACAGAATAAAATCTAATTGGTTTATTAAAATAGACACTGGTTATGTGAGTTGTTTGCCAAAGGTATAAAACCTCATTTACATTTAGATGAGGCTTAATTCACTTTGTTGTCAGCCCTATGCTGATCAAGTCAGTGATGGCTTACAGATTTACATACAGTAGGTGTCTCAGCCAACAGGTCCTCTGACACAGAGTCATCCTAAGCCATTACAAGCCTTTTCAGCATTAAGCTTATAGAGAACATTCAATATTATGATCACCTTGGCCTTGCACTGTGGTACAGTAGAATTTC